TTTTGTGTGCTTTTACCCTACACTATACAGATTTCATGGGGGAGACCAGGGTTTCTCAAATTGAAGGCCCCGACACAAAAGGGAGTTGCAGGGATGGGTCGCAAGGTTATTTTAGAGGGGGGTCACAGTATTGCCACCCTTATTTCTCCACTGCCTTCAGAGCTGGGCAGCCGAAGAGCAGCAGCTGTTGGCTGGGTGTCCAGCTCTGAAGGCAGCGCCCTGACAGTGGCAGCACAGACATAAGAGAGGCAATACCATAACATGCCACCCTTACTTCTGCACTGCTGCCTTCAGAGCTGGGTGGCGGAGAGTGGCGGTTGCTGACTGAGGGCCCAGCTCTGCAGGCAGCAGCACAAAAGTAAGGGTGGGAATACCATACCATGCCATCCTTAATTCTACACTGCTGCTGGCGGTGGCTCTGCCTTCAGAGCTGGGCTCCTAGCCAGCAGCCACTACTCTCCAGCTCTGAAGGCAGCACCACCAACAGCAGCAGTGCAGAAGTAAGGGTAACTGTACCGCAACCCCCGTCCCCCGCCACAACAACCTTGCAAGCCTCCTCCCCCCAATCCTTTTTGGGTCAGGACCCCTACAATTACAACACCATTACATTTCAGATTTAAATAGCTGAAAACACAAAAGGAGAAAGCCGTGTCAGATTTAGGCAAAGGCTCCGTGAGATAGGACCAAGATGTTATGTGCAGTACAAGGGGAAGTAGAAAAGTGACTCAAGTTGTGGTGGGCAATAGTCAGACAGACAAAATTAATCCAAATTATTTAACAAAATAAAAAGATTAGAATAGCTAAAGCAGAAGCCAGTTAGGCTGCCTAAGCAATTTGGCTATGAGGACCAGAATGTGGAGTGGGTGAATTTTTGAAGCATCAGAGGAAAGAGCAACAGAATGGCACAGGCTGGATGTTTATGTATTTGGCTGGAGAAGGGAGGAGTTGAAAATTCCACGTAACAGGCCATGCTGATAGGGAGAATGGTGGGGTTAATTGTAACAAAGCATCTGGGAGGAAAGATATGCTCAGTTGAGGCCCTGGGGAGCCTGAGATAACAAAACCATCCAGGCAGAGATGTCTAAGACAGCTAGATATGACATCCAAAGTGGAGAAGTACACTTGAGTAGACAGGCCCATGTGAGTGGAGTCTCTCCAGGTTCTATTCTTGGACCCCTCTTCCAGAGAAGGAGATGCCGCGAAAGAAACCACTGACAAAGTGGCTGGAGAGGTAAGAGGAGAACCAGGAAAGAACAGTAATGAATGCCAAGAAAAGGCAGGTTAAGAATCAATAGTATCGGAGGCACATGAGAGATCAAAGAGGACTGAACATAGGCCCCCTATGACAGCCAGAAAGAGAATGAGCAAGTGACATCAGTTTCCATGAAATGGAGATGGTGGAAGGTAGATTACAGTAGATCCAGTGGTTTGAGGTGAGGAAGTTAATGCAGTGGTCGTAGGCAGACTGTTTAAGTTGAAAGATGAAGTAGAAGGGGGAGGCAATATATCAGTCGAGTCAAAGCTTTTGTTTAAGATAATGTGGCTTACCAAAGCTTATTTGACCCTTTCCATTCTGTGTACAAAGGAGACTTTTTGGTTTAAGATGAGAGGCTGGCTGTCAGAGGAGTATGAGTCGGAAGGGAATAGGTGAGAGATAAAGATTGGTGACTAGCAAAAGCAGGAGGGTAGGAATAAATGAAGATAACAAAATACAACTCTCTCCTTGAAGATGAAGAAGCATGTTAGACGAGAAGAGGGGACTGAGAAAGCAGTTGAAGATGGCAGACAGACAATGGATTCAATGAGAAAGTAGTAGAGTCATTTGGGGAGCTAGACAGTAATGGCAAAAGATAAAGGGAAAGTTTGCATTGGCAGAAGTTCTCTGGAGAAAAATCTAGAGATTTCAGTGCCATGGGAGCCAATACGGGTCATGGCTGGAGCGAAGTACATTTGTGGAGAGGGGTAGCAGTGGCAGCAGTGCAGTGGGTGAAAGTCAGATTGGGAGGACAGACTAGAGATGTGAAGGACAACAAGAACAGTGGAAAATTCAGAGATGTTGATGGTCTGAAAGTCACAAAAGAGAGTTGTGGGATGCTGATATATTGGCCTGAGATCAGGAATTCAGCAAGAGAGGTAATAGAGAGACCCGTGCTTAGTGAAGACTAGGTCCAAGGAATGGCTGTATTTTCATGTGACAGAGTTGAGTCAGGATTGAAGACTGAATGAGGTGGCGAGAGAAAAGGTAGAAGGCCAATGGGTCAGATGAGACAGTCAATATAATAATTAAAAGTCACCATGGATAAGAGTAGATGACAGATGAAGAAGAGAGGGGAGCCAGGAGTTATGAGGCTGTAGAGGACAGCTAAGTGGAAGGGAAACGGTGGAGTTAATTTCGACAGATGAGCCCAAAGAATGGCAAATAAATAGATAGGAGAAGAAGGAAAACAAACAATAATAGAAAAGGCAATCACTATCAACATTCCTCTTGCTAGCTGCTTCAGGGCATGGGGTGATGGAGAAGGAATGTCCTTTGTTCACTGAGCACCTACTGATATATGCAGTAAAAGAATGAGTATAAAAATAGTTACTCAAAGTTGTTCCAGAAGCATGGGAAAAAAGTCAAACAAACAATTGATGGAAAATATTCTACCCGGGTTTTTTGAGTCCCCAAACTAAAATCTTGGGCCAAGTTCACAACTGACAGTCCAGAGGTTGTACACATGAACACTTCCCCACAACCTCTCTCTCACTGGGAATTGGGATGGGGGGTGGGGGAGGGGAAGGGGAGCTGTACATTATTCTGCCAATGATAGAAAAGGTAAGTAAATCCTACAACAAAATTAAAAAGGAAGGATAGGTGCCTTAAGTTTTGGTATAAAGCAATAGCAATATAAAGCAGTGTGTCCAAACACTGGCTACTTTAAGATCATTCCTTTCCTTCTTGCTATATATAATCTTGTTAGAATTAAAGAACAGGCTTTTAATTTCCATTAGATGTCTAGAATTTTTGGATTTACCTGTCCTGTTGGTAATGGCTGATCTAACATCTCAACATCTGGATGTTGAGGAAGGTTGTATAATCTGCAGAGGTCACATATCAATCGCTTCAGTTGTTGAAGAAGCTATAAAAATTAAAAGACAAAAGTTTTATTTTAACACAGTTTAACACATTTCCAAGTTTCTACACCGAAGATACTGAATATTCAGGCTGTCATTTTAACATGCAAGTACAGAATTAAGTCCACAGAATAGTAACACGAGTAATTAAGTTTCAGACACTCATTTCTCTATAATGATCACACTCCTATAAATTCCTAAATCAGGAAACCACCAACATGGCAAGTCAACAATGGAAACTGTAAAAGTTTTCTGGGTTTCACAGCTCAAGTATCAAATTTGTGCCAGCAATGTCCATGAAGCTGCTCTACCCTAAGAGCAGTGAAATGGATTACATCTCAAGAGGCACAATCTATCTCCCAGCTTCCGGTCTTGGAGAAGTATGCTTTTTAAATATGAATGCAGCCTACTACCCCCACAGCCTGGAGCCATGTGGCCATGGCCTTACCCTTTTCCAACCCACTTTGGGGAAACACACCCCTGGAGCAGTGGGAGCTAGCAGTCCCAGCATAAGCAATGAGACTGGCCCTTGTGCAGGGATAAGAAGAAGAGTAAACTCCTATCCTCACACCTGTCCTCCTGCAATAGGCTCAGGCATAATCTCAGCCCAAAATTACTAGAACTATTGGATTCCAGTAGTTATTAGTGTGCTATTGATTACTGTACCTTGCAATAAAGTTATAATATGTAAATGAAGAGACTTCACATGGTCATGGTATCCACAGCATTGGCTGCAGAACTGGTGAGTGGGTGGTGCCACCGTGATCATGGTCTGACCACCTTTTGGCTGGGCCAAACTTTAGTGACAATGCGACTGGGTAGTGTTGCAACCAGGTACATGGATTGCCACACCACTCAGATTTGGACCAGCTCACAACACTCATTAAAATTCACAGGGGGCAGGTGTAGGTATTCATGGCTCATGTCAGGCTGCTGATGGTGGAGGAAGGGGAAGTGGAGGGTCGGGAGGAGATCTATGCCTTTTCCACCCCCACTTCCCTGCATAGAATAAACTCCTTTATTTCTGCATGTGAGGAATAGTGGCATTAATTTTGTCTCTTACCACTACACTTTAACTGTGCGCATGAATTCATTTCCATGATTACTAACATTCCAAACCTCTGAGCAACTCAAACACTAACAAACAAACAAACAAAAAAATACCAAACACCCCACTATCACAAAATGTTTCCTTCCTTCCTCCTTTCCAAGCCCTCAAACAACATGAATTAGGCAAAGAAGCAGGGATTGCGGATTATATATTTGCTATATGATCAACAAGAACTATGCACTATAATACAGAAGATGAAGCCTGCAGATAGGGTTGCCAACCCTCCAGGATTGTCCTGGGGTCTCCAGGAATTAAGATAAATCTTTAATTAAAGATTACATCATGTGACAAAACCTCCAGGAATATGGCCAACTAAAGTGGCAACCCTACCTGCAGGAGCTGGAGATAAGATACTAAGTTGCAGCCAGGAATAGGTCTCCCTTCTACAAGATATGAGGAAAAGTTTTCCTGCCACTTTCAGAGTGCAAAACAAGATATCTGTTTACACAGGTCTTCCTGCAGTAGAAGCAGCTATTTTTAGGCCAGAAAGCCCCAATTCTCTTTAAGTATTTCCCTTTAAGGAGGCAATCCAGCCTCATCAAGGGTGCAGAAGAGATCAGTCAGGACAATACACATACTTCAATTCGTTTATTTTGGTGTTTAGATGCCCTGGTGATTAGTAATTACATTTCTTTACATCGCTAGTCTTGGAATTGGCAACCATTTTAAAGATACAAGGCCTTATGATTAGCTGAGCTAGATACATTTACTTTATCCCACTGGAGCTGAAAATCCAGGTTTTCCAATGGCATAAAGCACTTGTTTCTAGCTCAGACTAGTAGCAAGACAGTGATTTTTAGGGACCTCTGCTCCAGCAGATAGCATGTCTGACTCAACAAGGCAGGGTTCTGGAGTCCTAAGCGGACAAAGAAAACTGGCTCAGAGGTAGTTTCAGCACATCAGGTGACAGTCCCAAGGGGGTCTCTGTGACCGAACCCGTCACAAGAGCTATGGAAATAGTGTACAATAGGCGTCTCATAATGTGCTGCCCATAGACCCAGTTATCTCCTACCTTACCCCCTTCTTTCTGGATAGTACAAAATACTTAGCAATTCAATAACACATTCCCTCTGGAGCAGCTCAAATTCTGTCTCAACTGTCCTGTGAGGTATGCAAGTAACCTCATTTACGGAAAGAGAAACAGACATCAATTAAAACTACTTGCTCTAGGTCACACAGAAAGGCTGCAGCAAAGCTGGGAACTGAACCCCAGTTGACATGTCAACCACAAGGCCATTCTTTCCCATCCAGTCTGGCTATTTCCAGGGTTTCCCTGCACCAATCTGTCTCAGACACTAGCTCCCCCTGCTAAGGGTCACCACCACCTTCCTTAAAACCAGCAAGGTTAGCAAGCCACAAATTCCCCAGCGGTCAGAACAATGTATAAAGATGCTGGCCAATTTTGTACTATGACCTGCCTGAATGCACAGTGCTAAATCAGAGGATGCTACAGAAGGGGGGTCTTACAGAACTCAGCACATGAGATAAAGACATGGCAGAAATAAGTCAGCCTTACGTACACAGCTTTAAAGGAGTTAAGGTAATGATGGTTGGGCCATCAAGTGGCAGGAGAATTTACCTCGCTGGCTCCATCCATGCTAGGATGTTTTACTCTTCCCAGAACTAAATCTGGGATCAAAAAAGATTTACAAAACCACACAGACCCTAGAAAAGGGAGGCATTAAATTTGGGTGAGCTGAAAGACTGGCCAGAATGTACCAGTGAAAAGACCAACAGACAGTCAGTCAGAGACAGGGAGAAGGCTGCAGGCAGCGTAAGCTGTTTCTCCCAACTCAGAGATGTGGAATAAGACAAACCTGCCTGAGATGGGCATAGAGGCTAAGTTTAGGCAAGGGACTATACTTATAGGTCTGTTATTTTAAAATCCATTTTGGCCAAAATAAGCCAGGCTTTGTTTTGAAGAAGCTATTTCGATCTCACAGCAAATATGTACTAATCACAGGCTCCCAAAGAATAAACCCTGGTGGACTTGCTGGTACCCAAGGACCTGTAACCCAATCATGGTCAGTGTGGACAACTTGCAGAATTCCATTCAAGGAGAGGTACAAGCCCGACACCTGTGTATGTGTTTGGAGGTGGGCAGGGAAAGAGATGCACTCAAAGAGCCATTTACAGGTTAGCAGTGACACTGATTCCAACAGGCTGGCAGCCTTTTCTTGCCAACAGATAGGTCATTAACATTTTCCCTGCTACATGCACTTGGTAGGAGTTGGAAATGAATAATTCATAAAGTTTGATTTCGCTAGGCCACAGGGAACTTGTTTGTACCTTACCATGTTCATTTTTCTACTAGTAGCACAGGCATCAGAAAGATTACTACAACTTTGCATTCTGCCTCCTATTGCAGATGAGCTTTTCCCTTAAGAGTCCTTAATCTTTCTCACAAATGAGGCAGCTCAGACCATCATGACTGAAGGACAGACATCTCTTGTGATTAACCCCCTCCCCCGTGTTCTGTTTCAAAGGCTTGAAAAGACGACAGAAAAATCAGCCATTATTCCAGAAGGAATGCAGCTACTTCTGAAAGGTGTTGGAATCAGACAATTGTTTTAATTGGTATTAACCAGTAAGCAGCACAAACGGTCGTACTAATGCTCTGACAAGTCTAAGAGGAAACACCCAGTTAACAGCTCAAAACCAAAGAGGAAGCTGTATTCTGAGAGCCTTCCCTGGTAACACACACTTATGAGAAACTCTGGCCACAGTCAGATACCTTCCCCTCACTCCCTCTGCCCCAAACTGCTCCTCTGAAACAATCATTGTCAGTTTTCCTCCTGCGCTATTCTGGCTAGCATGTCAAGCCATTTTTCACAGAGAGAATGTACCTTCCAGTCTATCATCTTCTTTGTCCAAGTCAATCTATGTTTAGTGTCACAGAGTGTTTGTTTCTGGTGGGGTTTGTTTTTTAAAATGTATTGCTCCCAAATTCTCAGAAAATCCGGGCTAGATCTTCTAGATCCAGGCTATCCAAGAAAGATGCAGTCTCTAAGCCAGAATACCAGTGACTCTTGTGTATCAGATTCCTCTTCCCTGTAAGGTATCTGAGTACTGTCTAGATTTGACAAGCCAGAGAATCTTCAGGAGAGAGGTGCCATAACAGGATGACTTAGAAGTTCTTGGAGGGCTATGACCATGGCTGAGGAGAGACCTACCCACCCCAACTTGAGCACCATTTTAATGGCAACTTCAGTTGTACGCTGACTGAGACACCTCATCTCTCAATACCTGACTGTTTATCCTGATATTAAACTTACCAAGAAAATCTACTTTTGTTCTTTTAGCAGAATCTTACATCAAAAAAGATTCTGCAGGAGGGCAGAAGGACATTAGGATGTTTTCCTAACACAAACACCACAGGAGAACTGTGAAATAGTCTTGCACACACCTGAGTTATATCATGGTAACTGAGTAACTCCAAATAGAGCCATGAAATTATTTATACCCCTCAGGGGTTCTGCGAACTTGTTCTTGCAGTTGCCGTGATGGTGTTATAGTTCCAAGAGGTGTTTAGACATTGTTTTCAGTTTCCTGTATTCACATTTTATGAATAGGACAACAAGTTTTATTTAACTCTGGCCCACACAAAAGGCCCTTTTATACATTCTTTAGAGATTTTCCATTACAGCACAAAAGGGACAAGGAATTTTAGAGATCCTTAATTGTAAAAATTAATGTATTCCCTGGCTCAACTGTGAAGCCTAGTGCCTTTGACCACCTAGGAAACACACTGGATAAAAGAATACATAGCAATGCAGCAATAAGTGCTAGCCTTCCACTCTAGAAAACAGGTAGAGAACATGATGGGGAGGGACAGCATGAAGGGGAAGAGTGAGAAAAAAGTAGAAAATATCTTGCTTCATATATATATATATA